CAGGGAGGGCAGGCTTGAGGGATTAGGAGGGAATTACCTGGACTCAGGGAGAGGGGCTCAGACGATGAATTCAGTCTTTTCTAAAAACATTTTAAAAAGTGGTTTGCCTGACTCAAATCAGGAAGAGACAGCTGTACCCCATCTCTCCTTCCTCCTAGCCTGTGGGCTCCCTTAGCAAGGGGTGAACTATCGAATAAGAGCTCGCACTCTGGCATCTGGTGGTCCTGGCTGGGCCCTGGCTAGGCCCCTCCAGTGGCGTCACCGTGGGCAGGTTGCTAATCCCCCTGGCCTCAGCTACTCCTCCGTCAAAAAGGATGATGATGTCTCCCTCATAGAACTGTTGTGAAGTTGAGATGAAATACGAGTGTTTATGGCAGGGCCTGGCATACAGTGAGTACTCGCATATTAGCAGCAGTAGCACTCTTATTTTTGTGGATTACCTGAGAAACCAAACCATCATTGGTGGTATAATTTCTATGACAAGTTTCAAACAGTTAAATAACAAAGAATCCCATTTTAATCAAGAGATTACAGTAGAGCACAGACCCAACCGGGGTGGGTACTTAGTAGGGAGAAATAGAGGCTAGAAATGAAGAGTTGTGCTCCCTACCAGTGAAGAGAGATTTTTGCACCGTGACCAGTTTAGTACAAATAAACCTGTTTATAGGCTGTGTCTTTTCTCCATGCACAATTTATTGAGGTATTTCATCACTTTAACAAATGATAATCGAACATTTAGTATTCCCAGCCCTGTGAAGACCCAGTGAGGTGCAAACCGGAAATGTCCCTGGCCCTCGGGCAGCTAAGTATCTAGAGGGGAGAGGACCAAATAGCACACATTGGTCTGGCAATAAATTAAACAATTAGAGATGGTGAGAGCTGGGAAACAAGCTTAGGACAGAGATTGACCGTGGAGGGACCGGTTTCGGATCAGTGATCCAGGAAGGTGACATTCAAGTACAACGGAGAAGGTGGGGAAGAGCCAGGGGTCCGGCGAAGTGTGGGAAGGGGGCTGGCTTGCGGGGGCGTGCCCCAGGTAGGGACATCGTGTGCACCAAGACATGCAGCCCAGGAAGACTTCGGTGCATTCCAGGAATGAAGGCAGGCCTGTGTGGCTAAGGCGGGGAGAGACTGGCACGAGTCGTGAGAAGCAGGCCCAGGTCAGATCAGGTCGGGAGTGAGGGCTGCTGCCAGGACATCGGAGAAGCTATTGAGAGGCCCTGCAGTCCCATTCGGAGAAGGTCCATTCTTAGTGCATTTTCCTGCTTTGACCCTTTTCTATTCAATAACGAAGACATGGATACTGTATTTATTTTAGCGACAAAACTATCTGTGTATTTTTGAGAAGTGAGCACAGGTCTGAACGTCAGAAGCACTGCTGAGGTGGCCTTCTTCTTTTTGTTTTTTTGAGACAGAGTCTCGTTCTGTTGCCAAGTTGGAGTGCAGTGGCGCAATCTGGGCTCACTGCAACCTTCACCTCTCGGGTTCAAGCCATTCTCCTGCCTCAGCCTCCCAAGTAGCTGGGATTACAGGCATGCACCCCCACGCCCAGCTAATTTTTGTATTTTTAGTAGAGACAGGGTTTCACCATGTTGGCCAGGATGGTATTGATCTCCTGACCTCGTGATCCACCCGCCTCAGTCTCCCAAAGTGCTGGGATTACAGGTGTGAGCCACTGCGCCCGGCTGAGGTGACCTTCTAAATCTTCGCCTGCTGTTCCATTGCAGGATGCCTTGTGAAGCGAGGTATGGCCTGTGGCCCACACGGGCCAGGGAGACCTCGAGTGAGGGGCAGTTGCGCGGGGCACACAGTAGGTGTTAGTCAAGTCTAGAGGTTACGCATGGCTTTGTTTCGTCCAGAGCAGAGAGCTCTCCTTAGGTTGGTTTCGTGACAAATGCGAATATTATGGCCTGGCCTGATATCTGGCATGTTGAGTGCTGACTGGTGTATTTCCTTTTTCAACCAGAGAATCCTGGCCAAGCCCCGAACAGTCCAGAAACCCTAAGATCAGCATTTCTAGATCTTCTATGCATTTGGGAGGAGTCACCTTCGATGACTTTATCAATTGAAAATTTCTGACATCAAATTACTGGCCTTTCAATCAGTCAGTTCTGATGACAGGAAGGACCAGGGCTCTGGAAAGTCACTTTAAGCCAATCATTATTAGTCAAATAGTGCTGTTATTTATATTGAGTATTGAGAAGGGAATGTAATGCTGTGTGACCACAGTGTGCCTTCTCTCTGTGCTGGGTCACCTGCAAGCCCTGAAGGCCCCAGACAGCAGCACACAGGGATTCCTATGGATCAGAGGCCTCCTAGGGCTCACGTGGTTATTCTGCATTATACCTGCAGACAGGTAAAATCAGATTTCTCATGTCTTCCCTTTTGGGGGTTGGGTGTGTGGGTCTGAAAGGCCTGTCATGCTTGGCCTGACTGCACTGTCCAGTGTGGTAGGTACGTGTGTGTGTGTGTGTGTGTGTGTGTGTGTGTGTGTGTGAAGGAAGTCTGCCGGTTTAGCGTTGGCCTGTCCTGACTGGTGAGACCTCTGATCGCCTAGGCTGGGGCTCAGGTGAGGACTTTTTGACGTTGAGGGGTGAACTTGCTTTCTGAAGGCACAGAGCCTCCCGGGTGGCAGAGCAAGGACTGGGCCTGAAATTTCTGCTGTTTAGATCTGTGCTCATTGACAAAGCCATGATGTTTAATTGCAGAGAAAATGGTGCAGCAGCAGATGCAGTGAGGAAACAAAGAATGCCCAGTTTTTCCAAGTCACTGAAGCGAATCTTTTTATCTCTGCGGTGAACATTTTAAGAGAAAACAAAATGTGTTTCTTGCTAATCGGGTGGAAACAACTTATTTAAAGAAACTAAGAGTGAGCAAAATAAAAGTAGAGTAAAGACAGAAGTAACATGTTTAGAATACTTTGGTAATCAGGCATTATATTATGTCAGTGGGAGTACGATTCCAAGTTCATAATGTCATCACAACTTAATTAAAATACTAGATGTAAGTCCGCGTTTGTTAGATATTATTTAATCCAGTAGTTTTATAATCACTGATTTTTTTTTTCCTTGAGGTAAAAAAACATTGTATCTCTTCAGATTATTAAACAACCTTAAAATAACAATGTCCTGTTTCCCGAACATTTATAAATTCAATTTATATCATGTAGGCTTATTGGCACTTTTCTCCAAGTCAAGATTATGACTTTGGTTATAAATTCCTCTGGTTTCAAAAAGTAGTGATTTCTTAATAACTTGGGAGGTAGTTTTGATAACAATCAGTTGTATATTTATAAGGTAAAACAAGGAGCTCAACTGCTTATGACTGATCTGAGCAGGCAGTGTTGTGTACTGTGCTGTGACAGTTAATGCTTTAGGCCTGACAATTACAGGTGACTCGTTACACCATCGGAGCTTGCATGCTCACAGTTGTTCTATGCTTGTTTTAAAAAACGCCGGATTCAGTCCTCAGGTGATGGTGCATCATTGGCCTGTCTTTCATCCACTTGGTTAAATGAACTTTTGGTTGATGTACTTCAGTTAACTTCAGTGACCACCCATCGCTGCTTCGTGTTGACCCGCTTTTTCAGTAGAGGATCGAAGGGGATAGCATTTGTCAACTACTGTACATAGGAAAGAAAGGGACCGTGTAACCCTGTTTTGAAAAATTCTGTTGAAACTTACTAGCTGCTTAGTACTGGTACTTCCTGTTTCCAAAACCAGTGTTTATGCAATGCCACACTCCATTGTGAGATTGTTTATTGCCTTTAGCAGCACTCCTGGCATGGAGACCCCGCCCCTCATTTATGCGAGATCTCCAGGTTACAACTGGCCCAATCCATTCCACACCAGCAGTACCAGCCTTTATCCCTCTCTGCCTCCCTTCTGTTGGGTGACAAAGACCTTGTTGGGTGAATACGTTTCGTCTAGTGACTGTTCCAGCACATTCCTCCTTCCCGGTCTGAGTCCCGGCCCTTATGGCTCTCCGCCTGCCATTGTCTTGGCTTTGAATTAAGCCTGGCACCTTTGCCCTGTCTGCGCAATGCTAGCACCCACCTCCCTTCCTTTAGTAAACATACTCATGATGGGTGTCAGTTTCTCATGCCTGCAGCACTGTGAACTAGGTCCTGCTGCCGTAAAGTCGGTGGAAAGTATTCATGGGGAAGGTGTGTTTGTCAGGTCAGGCAGTGGGAAGGCAGGGGAAAAAGAGATAAAGAAAAAAAACCCTGTTTCCAACTCTCTGAAGAGGCGAGGCCAGCTAACCTGAGATGCCTGTGATGAGGTGAGTCCATGTGTACTATACATTAATTACCTATTATATGTGCATGGTAATGAGCTTCTTAGGATGGGCCAGAGGCGTCAATCCATGCAGCAAGCCTGGGAGATGAAGACAAGGAAAAACGGGCTCTGAAAGCCACCGGACCCCCTTCGAATGGCTTTAAGACAAGTCAGCCTGCATTTGAAGCCTGGCCCTCCCATTGTTAATTGTATGAATTTCAGCAAGTTTCTTAGCCTCTCTGGCCCTCAACCTACCTGAGAGTGTTGTAAAAAGTCACTGAGATAATGGCGGTTAGGACTGCCCAGCTCAAAGCTAATATTAGTTGAGTGATTATTGTCCTTGTTTTTGTTGCTGAACTAGGAGTAGCTGATACAGGGCAGAGCCGGGCTGAGTTTCTCAGAGTCTAAAGCTCGGGCTCCTTCTTCGAGTCATACTGTTACCATTGCCTTGTCTCTTTTGGTCAGGAAGAAAAGTACCTCACTTCTTAGTGTCTCCCCTACTGTTTTTGCCCAGTTTCCTGTGTGTTGGGGTTAAATGGCCCTTGACTCTCTGGTTCCTGGTGCCAGGGACTGGCAAACTTTCTTCTACCCATTGTTAGTTTGAGCTAAGGGTGGGGGATTTTGTTCAGCTGCTTAGAATATTATATAGATAGAATTATTGTTTTGCCATTAAGAAACCTATTAACTGACTTTCACTGCTTTTTTTTTTTTTTTTAAATGAAGGAAAATGCAGTTGAAGCTAATTTCATTTGACTTGTGGATAAACTGTTGGAACTGCCTTACAAAGTATGTTAATAAGTGGGGGGAAATGGACAGTTTCAGTCATCTTTATCCCTCAGCTTTCATCATGATGTAGGGAAAAAACATACTCACTGTGAACAAATAGAATTATTGAAGTCATCTTTAATTTGTATTCCTTTCCTCATTCACATACAGGTAAAAAGATTTGAGATTATTTTTTAACAATTGGAGAAGGGTAGTTTAGAGATTAGGGGGAGGAGAAGATGATGTCTTACTATCAGTAATACTAATCCAGATAAAACTGTTTAAATGTTTCCCATTTGGAAGGGATCCTGAAAGGTGGTGTACAGGAGCTTACCCAAATGTACATTTCTGTTGGACGTTTTCGTGTGCTTTCACTAGTCTTAAGAGAGCTGCTAATTTATTGTGGCAAGTTTTAAGTAAGTGAATTAGGGCAGGATTTTTCAAGCTGCTGGGCAGTCTGTTAATGGGTCATAAAATTAGTTTAGTGGGTCACAACAAGCATTACAACAAAGTGAAATAATGAACCCTTTTTTTTTTTTTTTTAAATAAAGTCTTATTCTGTCATCCAGGCTGGAGTACAGTGTCGAGAATTTGGCTCACTGCTACCCTTCCACCTCCCGAGTTCAAGCGATTCTCGTGCCTCAGCCTCCTGAGTAGCTGGGATTATGAGTGTGTAGCTGGTGAATTTTTGTATTTTTAGTAGTAATAGGGTTTTTCTATGTTGCCCAGGCTGGTCTTGAACTCCTGGCCTCAAGTAATCCATCCACCTCAGCTTCCCAAAATGCTGGGATTATAGGTGTGAGCTACCATGCCTGGCCAAAATAATGAACTTACCAGAGTATACAACATGTCGTAAAGGCAAGTATTTCTCCTGGAAAGCTTGACTTCATTTTTTCATTGTGGGGTGTGTTGGGGTATTGGGCCATTGTATATAAATAAAGTGGGTTACAGACAGAAAAATTTGAAAGCCTCTGATCTGGAATATTTTAGAAAGTTTATCAGACTTTTGTTTTTTTGAGACCGAGTTTTGTTCTGTTGCCCAGGCTGGAGTGCAGTGGTGCAATCTTGGCTCACTGCAACCTCCGCCTCCTGGGTTCAAGCAAGTCTTAGGCCACAGTCTCCTGAGTAGCTGGGACTATAGGAATGTGCCACCACACCTGGCTAAGTTTTTGTATTTTTAGTAGAGATGGAGTTTCACTGTGTTAACCAGGATGGTCTTGATCTCCTGACCTCATGATCTGCCCACTTCGGCCTTCCAAAGTACTGGGATTACAGGCGTGAGCCACCGCACCTGGCCCAGAGTTCTTTGGAGCAAGTCTAATTGTGTGTAGGAGGAAGTGCTTATAACAGAGTCTTTCTTAGCTATATTTTCATCACCATTGAGTGTATTGACCATGACCGTTTTCAGGGTTTAGGACTTTGGTCATCACAGTGACAACGTTTTGCAACATATTCCTTCCTTCCATGGTTCCCCACTAAGATCTTCCCAAGCATCATTCCTAGGGGGGAGAGTCACACAGCCAAGCCAGTTGTCACAGGCACAATTACACAGAGTAGATGTGACCACACAGACTGTCCTTTTCAGATTAAAAATATTTTGTTTCTCTAAGGCTGTCATTTTTCTTTTCTCTACACTAAAAACAATAGTTCGAGATCCTTTACAATAGAACTGCACTGTATGGCACGGAAGGCAGGTCTCTGAGAGGCTAAATGTGTGGCAGAAGCAGACAAGAGGCACAGTCCAACCTCTGTAGGGCTGAAATATGAAAAACTAGTGTCACAGGCCATGAAGAAGGCTCCAAAGGTTAAGTAACATTTGCCCAAACAATACTTACCACCAAGAAGGCACTGCCACCTGGGAGACAGTGGTTGTAGTGGGAGGCTGAGTGAGACTCTGTCTCATAAATAAATAAATAACATTACTTGAACATAGAATTGGGGAGAATTTGATAAAGCCAGAAAGGTACAAATAGGGACTGTTGTTGAGACTGGCATTTCAGTAGATGACGCTATAGAAGGAGAAAAAGAGATTCCTTAACATTGGTGATAATACAGTTATCAGGTATAACAATTTTTAGTAATAGTGATACAGAGATTTTTTCCCCCAGAGCTAATGTATTTTGTAACTGGAAAATAAGGTTTATGTCTTCAATTCTAAAGATTCATAGATGAAATTAGGAAAATAATGTCCTTTCTAATTAACATGTCCTGTGTACCATTGTATTTATGTATTTTCTACTATAAACCGAATTTTAAAATCTTGGAAAAAGTATACTCACAAATACTTCAAATCTTACTCAGTTTGGCGTTTGTAAGGTTATCAGCTGGGCATAGTGGCTCATGCCTGTAATCCAAGCACTTTGGGAGGCCAAGGCAGACAGATCACCTGATCTCAGGAGTTCAAGACCAGCCTGGCCGATACGGTGAAACCCCATCTCTTTTAAAAATATAAAAACCGGGCATGGTGGTTGCCTGTAGTCCCAGCTACTCAGGAGGCTAAGGCAGGAGAATTGCTTGAACCTGGGAGGCAGAGGTTGTAGTGAGCCGAAATTGTGCCACTGCACTGCAGCCTGGATGACAGAGCAAGACTCATTAAAAAAAAAAAAAAAAAAAAAATTATAAACCAAGATTTAGAGGGTTGCTTTTGGATTTTGTTCTTTCAACCCTGAATTGCCTTGGAAAACTTTTAAAGAATTGTCTCATTTTTCACAGCCTTTGTGCTGCATTTTAAGTACTCAATCCATTTAAGAAGGTAAAACTATCCTACTGTAATTAAGCTTTTCAGGTTTTTTTTTTTTTTGGCATAAAGGAAGTAGTTAGCTATGATACATCTGTGGTTTCTTGCTAGAGAATTATTTTATAATTGTTCCTGCAGAAATAATTAATGATTTGCTTTACTTCCAGCTGTCAGTAAAAGTTTTCATTATGAATATGTTGACATGTCCTTTGTCCTTGTCCTTTTCATTTAAAGTAACCAGTAGCTGCTATTTATGTAAATTTTAAAAAGATACTGTTAAAAAAGTTCTGACCTTTGTGATAAGAGCTGTGAGGGAAGTCAAAGCTGATGGCATGCTGGGTTCTTGGGTAATGAATTCTGTTGCAACAAAAGAAATGAAAGCATGACAGCTTGGGTCACTTCAGGGAAAGAAGCAGGGTTCTCCACTTCATGTGGACTTAGAATCAGGTAGAGCATTTACTTAAGGGTTCCCATGGCACCCTATTCTGTTCTTTCCCTGAGTCATTATTGCTGCTGTGGGATTTAAATCTCTCGATAATGGGCTGGGTCCGGTGACTCACGCCTGTAATCCTAGCACTTTGGGAGGCTGAGGTGGGCAGATCACCTGAGGCCAGGAGTTCAAGACCTACAAGCCTGGCCAACATGGTGAAACCCGTCTCTACTAAAATATAAAAATTAGCCAGGTATGATGGTGGGTGCCTGTAATTCCAGTTACTTGGGAGGTTGAGACAGGAGAATCACTTGAACCCGGGAGATGGTGGTTGCAGTGAGCGGAGATCACACCATTGCATTCCAGCCTTGGCAGCTGAGCAAGACTGTCTCAAAAAATAAATAAAATAGGCCGGGCGCGGTGGCTCAAGCTTGTAATCCCAGCACTTTGGGAGGCCGAGGCGGGTGGATCACGAGGTCGAGAGATCGAGACCATCCTGGTCAACATGGTGAAACCCCGTCTCTACTAAAAATACAAAAAATTAGCTGGGCATGGTGGCACATGCCTGTAATCCCAGCTACTCAGGAGGCTGAGGCAGGAGAATTGCCTGAACCCAGGAGGCGGAGGTTGCGGTGAGCCGAGATCGCGCCATTGCAATCCAGCCTGGGTAACAAGAGCGAAACTCCATCTCAAAAAAAATAAAATAAAATAAAATAAAATAAAAATCTCTCGATGATGTGTTGAGACTCTGGGGAAACATTACTTGACCATAAAATTATTAGGTAGTAACAGACTTGATTGCAATGCAATGAATTGCCAGCGTGAGTAATTTGATGGAGGATGTATTGGTTCTTGGGGCAAAAGTCCTCATGCCAGACAACCAAGGACTAGAGCGGCAGACTCTGGGGTAGATGGTGGTGGTTCTCACAGACGTGTAGTGGGAGGAGGAGTGACTGGTAAGGCTTTGTTTTGAGAGAGACAGAGAGAGAATTGACTTGAGGATGGAAGCTACAAAGTAAACACGAGATTATTGCAGTCGTCTTAAATGATCCTTAAAAGCATCCTGTTTGAGTCAAGATGAATCGGACCACTTCACTTCTGTACGATCTGGATTATGACTGATGTCTCTGTTCCTCATCACTAAAATGAAATAATATTTCTCCAAGGCCTCTTTTAACTCTAGAATTACATGAATTTTTGAAATGTTGAATATTTTCTAAACAACTTCCTTTCCATTCCCGTAAGAAAAAAGGTTGTTATGCTCTGTAGACCTTGAGGCACCCGATGTCTGTCTGGGTATTTACCGGTGAGCTCTTTGTTTTTAGGCTTTCATCGTTCTGTGTTCCTTGTTTGCCAAGGAGGATGCTGTCATTTTCCCATTCTGCTTTTAAGTTTTCCTGTGTCTGTTACTGTCTGTACAGGTAGTGAAAGGCTTCAGCTGACTCCTGTGGGGAGATGAGTTTCTGGTTGGATGTGCTGTGATGGGGTGACCCAGCTCACTGGTGATGGTGAGTGAGCGGTCTCATGCAGCCAGGGTTGCCTTGCTTTTGTTTACTCGTGACTCGGCAAGGCAGCCTGTGGGAAAATGGCAAGGCCTGGTGTCTTGGAACCACAATCCTCCAGAGGGAGTTGCATTAATGTGCAGAGTTGAATCAGAGAAGGTTCAGAATTGGTGTAGTTTATTGCCTTATTCCAGTACCCATGGTCACTACAAATGTGTTTACATTTCAACTTTTGCCAAAGCCCCCTTAGTTTAAAAGGGAGGCTTCACGTAAATGGATCTCATCTTTGTTACTTATTGAAGCTTTCATTATAGATGCTGTGAGTACTCAGCATTTCTAAGAAACTCCCATTGCTCTTGTTTCCCTTTCAGCTTGGAGCTGGGGTCCAGCGTAGCTAAATGAGGGGCCTGGCTTTGCCCCTTGTCGGGAGGATGGCCTGCCTTTGAAGGCAGCTGAATTTTGTATGTGTCTTAGTCTCTTCAGGCCACCATGACAGATATCATAGACAGTGGCTTAAACAATAGATGTTTATTTCCTCACACTTGTGGAGGCTGGAAGCCCCAGATCATGGTGCCAGCAGATTGGGTTCCTGGCTTGCCGACAGCCATCTTCTCACTGTGCCCTCACATGGTATTGGGGCTGGAGAGTGCAGGGAGAGAGACTGAGAAAGAAAGAGTTCTGGTCTCCTTTTTTATAAGGACACGGATCCCATCATGTGGGCTGTAGCCTCATGACCTCATCTAAACCTAATTATCTTCCAAAGGTCCTGCCTACAAATACGGTCACTTCGGGGGTTAGGGTTTGAACATACGAAT